ACTTCACCCCACGCAGAGGGCCATCCCAGAAAGTAATCGCTGCTTAGTGGGCACGCTTTTCTTTTGGGGTAGTGACGGAGATGTTCTGAAATTAGAGTGTGGATGCCTATGTGCACTGAACGCACTAAAAGCCACTGGAATTGTGTATTTCAGCTGGTGAGTTTTAACTCAGTCATAAAAGCTAAATGACAAAACCCAAGGAGCAGCTCACTCCCATCATGTCCGACTCTGTTCATCGCTGGCTCATTCCTTCTCTCTGAGGGAGCTTCCAATGCCCCCCAAGATGCAGCGATATAGGGACCAGATTTACCCTCTTCCATCAGAAATAGGTCACACCGTATGAGACAGTGGCTTCCAGAGCGTGGACCTCAGGCACGAAGGACAGGAGCCTGGTGGAACAGATGGGGTGGGCCGGATGACTGTCCTCGCGGACTGTGACAGTTTCCAGGCTGCAGGGCAGAACCCAGGCAGAGCTCAGAGGACCCTGACTTGAAGACAGAGCAGAGTCAAAGCAGACTTGGGGAAGGCCAAGGCAGCTGGGGTTTGTCAGGTGCAGCTCTAGGGAGGTGAGAGCTGCAAAAAAGAACCCAGAAATCTTGGTGTCTCCATCTAGGATTCAGAAGCACTGAGGCATGCGTGTGAGAACAGCCAAAAGGCTTAGAGGGAAGAAGGCCTGCAGCCCCCACCAAACGGCGACCCACGTCTGCTCCCACAAGCCAGCCCGGAAAACCTCCTAACCCAGGAGCTGTGGGGAGAATCTGAAAGTCTCCCTCTGCAGGAGGGAGAAACCGGCCCTAGGCTACAGGCCACAGTGGTCTTGCCTAACCACCTTAAAGACCAAACTCAAATTATCTCCAAGCAATGTAAGCATATTCCAGAATAAAGTTTAAGGGTATTGACAGAAGTGAACGTCTGAAACCAAGCAAAGAAAGAGCCAGGGGAATGGGGCTTTCTGAAATACTTAAGAGGCAGAATTGTCAAGACAGCTGATGACCCAGCAGTGTGCGGAGCACTGAAGATGACGTCAAACAAGCTCGGTGGTCCTCCACTCGAGGGAAGTCGGGGGGCAGCAACTGCCTCCTCAGGTGGAACCAGGGACAGGCAGGAAAATCTGAGCAGCAAGTACAATTCAGGAGGCAGCAGTCATGAAGCAGACACCCATGGCCTGCACAGCACCGAGCCACAGCAGGCACCGGAAGCCTGGGGCAGCTGGCCTCTGGGGACAGGACAGCACCGAGACAGCAGGCACCGGAAGCCTGGGGCAGCTGGCCTCTGGGGACAGGGAGTGTGCAACAAGGCAGCACTGATGAGCCAGGCAGGGCCGGGAGAGTCCGAGTTTACCCAAGGTGCAATGAAAATCTCCTGGAAAGCTTTAACCAGGAGAGTGATGACTACATCTGGACTTTAAGACACCAGCGTGATCAACTAAGGAGAAGCATTGGACAGCAAGGGGCAAGGCAGACAACAGATAACCAGTTAAAAGGCTTTGGTCATCGCAAAAGAGGACAACTCGCACGCGAGAGGAAAGAATGAACAGGCTAGAAATGCGGAATACAAGGCCGGGATTTACAATGGCTGTGAAGGAGATGGGGGATAACAGGAAGAAATGCCACTTACTGAGGGAGAGGTTAGCGCAGGGCAGACTGGGCAGGGGAGGAGGGCCCCATTTCAGACAACAGATTTGGAGTCATAATTGAGCCACTGGAGAAGTCTTGGATTTTGGGGGAGACTGGGTTAGATATGCAAGTGTGGGGTCCTCAGCACATACATGGCATTGTAAACAAGATCACACAGAGGGAGATGGTAGTGTGAAAAAATACATGTAAGAGGGGACTTTTATACTCCAATGTGTATGCAACAGGAAAGTCTATAGCCAGATGATCAGGAAGAGGAAAATGATCAGCGGTGCAGTAGAGATTAGAGGGTGCAACCAGAAGTGTGGGGGTGTAACTGAAGGAGGGGCCCAGCCTCTGATGGGAGGGAAGCCTCTGACACAAGCAGCAGGAAGTCTGTGAGACACAGTAGGCAGAGGAGGGCTTTCCCAGGAGTTCCCGTACTCTACTCAGGAGGAGGCACAGAATCCGACAGGCAGGAGTGATAGGCATAAAGGCATTAGTCTAAAAGCTGAAGGTATAACTGAGATTCCATCACTCCAGGAAGAGTGGCTGTCATCAAGAAATCAACCAATAACAAACGCTGGCAGGGTTGTGGGGAGAAAGGAACCCTGCTTCATTGTTAGTGGGAGCACAGACTGGTGCAACCATTGTGGCATTCGGTATGCAGTCCTCAAAAACTAAAACTAGGGTTCCATTGGACCCAGGTATGCCCCTTTTTGGTATCTTCTCCACAGAGTTAAAAGCACCCTACCAGCAATATATATACACACACCCATGTGTACAGCAGCACAATTTATAACAGCTAAATCCTAGAAACAGCCCAAATGTCCATCCATCAATGAACAGAGAAAGAAGTGGTTTTCATATAGAATGGAGTACTACTCTGTCATAAAGAACAAACTAAAGGCATTTCTAGGTAAATGGATGTACTGTGAGACCATACTTTTAAGTCTAATAAATCAGACACACTTATATTGTTTCTCTTGTGTGAGAAACCAAAAGGGTAAATAAGGACCAAAATGGATGACAGATATTGGGAAGAAAATGTTCAAGTGGGGAGGTGGAGGAAGGAAGGGGAAAGGAAAGAAAGGGAAAAGGGAAAAAACGGAAACAAAGCTTTTGTAAATAAAGAAGGGAAGAAGGGTTGAAGGGAGGGGAGAGGAATGGATGAAAAAAAGATCAATATATATTATACACAGGTACAAATTCCCAGATGATTAGCATACATGTATCAAAGCATACCGATAAAATTTTTTAAAAATACTGAAGCTATAAAACTGTCTCAACATTTCAATGGGTATCAAAAATCCATAAGGTAAAAACTGCCCATTCATGGAGGAACATCTGCTTAATGTTCAACCACATGATAACCTGACAACAGAGGAAAAGTTAAGGTCAGAGTTGCTCAGAGGACAGGATTAATCGGTGAGGGACTGACTAGTTCCTTTGCCAATCAGCATCACATAGCACTTTCCACAGCGGCCCCAAAGCCCCAAGATGCTGACCTAATCCTCTCCCCCAAAGCCAAGGCCCCAGCAGTCTCGCTGTATTCTCTAAATTTGCTACTAATTCCAGAAATGCAGGCTGACTCCTTCACATTTAGAAGGTGAAATGAGGTTGAGTGGCTGTCGCTATTCCTAGGATCTTTCAGGTTCTTCCCAACGATAATGGCAAAGAAAGCGTCGGCATTCTAAGCTGACTATAGTTGCCACACATTTTTCAGGAGTGGTGTCTCTTCTGTAACTATCAAGCAAAGACCAAATTCAACCAACTACACGGCTCAAACAAGTAAAGTGAGTTAATTCAGCTAAATCTGAAAAGAGACAAAGAGCAAAAGAAACTCCACTCTTCCCCCTAAGGCCATAGGAAATATGGGCCATAGGACAGGAAGGCCACACTCTACTAAAAGCGGGCAATCACCACTGCAGCCCTCCAAGGATTAACAGAGACCACTGTCAGGTCTGCTTGTCCAAGATGCTCTAAACCACAGATGGGTGAAATACTGAAATTTTAGATAGTAGAAATGATGAAGTTTTAAAACTAACATTTTCCCCCTATTCAAAAAAAATCTTCATGCAGCTATTTACAACCTAATGCAGCTTCTCTTGCTTTTAGAGACTTGCTATTACCACTGACGTTATAGGTTAGGGGGCTAAGAAGTATAGCCCATCAGCTTCAAGGTGGGGAATGCCTCTACTGTACAGCCACCTATGGGTTAAGGTGCTTTTCAGAAACCCAGATGCTGCTTATCTCTCCCTCAAACCCCCTGAAACCACACGTGAGCCTGCACCAGCATGTGACAGGGGACGTGGTGACTCCATAGGACGAAAGCTCCACTCTCACATGCTAATTCTGCCATTTTTCTGAATCCGTGTCCTGTGAAGAACCATAAAACACACAATACCAACTGCTTCACTGTCCCTGCCCACACCTCAAACAGCCTGTGTCTGCCCCCACGATACCCTTATTCTCTACCCTGGAGGAAATGCAGTTGATATCTGGGGCTCCCGTCTCCTGAGGCCTGGAACCTTGTTTTTGGCAGAAGAATAAACTCTTCTGCAAAATACATCACTTCAGGGATAAGCACTGTACGGTGGGCAGAATGGACTCGTTCAGTAACAAACACACCAGCACTATCATTTCCTGGCTCTTCGTGCCTTGCGCAGATCAGTGAGCGGCTGAGTCTCATTGCCCTCATCTGAAAAAGTCAGACACTAAACACAGTAATGCTTATGAGATACTTATGTCCAACACCAGATAAACCACTGCGCACATTTCCTAAAGGTACAGGCATCAGTAAGCTATCTGCAGGTATCTTCAAAGACATAACCGAAGATCTGAGAGAGCTTGATTTCTCAGAAGATCTAGACCCTTTCAAATTCTGATTACTAAATGCCGAGGGCTAAAGTCATTAGTGCTAAACAGAACCAGCAATAAAAAAATGCCTCGCAATAAATACTTAATGAGCTGCAAGTGGCTCTTCTAATTAAGAGAGCTAGGGCTGGGGATTTAGCTCAGTGTTTCTGCTGTCTGCCTTGCAAGCCCAAGGACCTGAGTTAGATCCCCAGCACCAAAAAAAAAAAAAAAAAAAAAAAAAAAAAAACACAGCTAAAAACTGTCGCTAGTTAATGGCTGCAGAAAGACAGTAAGTACACAGTAAAGGGTAAACTTTTCAGGGAAAACAAAGTAAGCTGTTAAAATTAACCACAGTTTTTTAAGGTAAGTTTTGACAAATCAGACAAATCTGTATTGTCAGATTACAGATTCTAGCCTGTTAAACATTTCAGCTAATTGTCATAGCGTTTTAAGTAAATTCCAAGGAACCCCAACCACAATATTAGGAAGCGTCTGTTAAACACAAAAATTCTTTATTTATATTGACACATACAAACTATAAAGCACTAAGAAATTTAAACATCCATGTCATAACAAGCAGGTGGCAATTCAACATCCAGGATAGAAAGAATGCTTGGAGACTGCAACAGATCTGGAAAAAGAGAAATTTCTTAATACATTCCTACAAACCCCGAGTCAGTGTCCATATCAACACAGGCATTAGCTTTGAACCATAAGTTCATGTTTTTTCCTCTAACAAATCTCTACCCCCAACTCCTCCTCACACTTCTGGAAATGCACTTGTGGCCCAAGATTGACTTTCATCTGGAATTAAGTCTTACATGTACCTGAAGGTTTACAGTAAAAGGTAATAGTCTCATTAACAATTATAAATACAAGTTCTCTCGCCAGAACATCAGGAGGCACACTGATGGATTTCTTGGGGTTTTTTTTGGGGGGTTACATTTAATTTGCAGTACTAGGGATTGAAACCAGAGCTCTGCAATGAGCTAAATTCTCCGCCCTTTCTTTGTCTGACATAAGAGTCATGCTAAGTGGCCCAGGCCGGTCGTACAATCTTCCTGTCTCAGCCTCTTCAGTAGCTGGGATTACAAGAGTTCTCCTCCATGCCTAGCCATGATGACTTTTAATCATCAGTTCAGACAAGGATCTCCAACTGCCGGCAATAAGGACTGTCATTCTCTGCCACAGAACAGATATCCTGAGACTCTACTAGAAGTGGAAGTTGGAGCTGTCATCTACCCAAGCTGACGATACACTTCAACTTACAGCCGAAGAAGTTAGCTGTTAAATCTGTTATCTCTTTGCTATACTTATTTAAGATGGACCATATCTCAGAATTACTTCATCTTACCGGAGCTGTGGGACTAAAATACAGTACCAACCACAGTTTTTATTCCTCTGAAACTTCTCCCCTATAGTTCAAAGGAAGAAATGCCTCCTAGGCCAACAACCTTCCCTCAGCTCCGACCCCGCAGTACCGGAAGCGCTGTGAAGCAAGCGTTTGCAGCCTACACGGGGCCGCTCATCCTTACCCGCTCCCCACAGGGAGGGCGCCTTCACGGGTGACGGGGGGCCCAGCTGCAGCAGCCTCTCCAGCCCTTTCTCCTCCTCCAGCACCATGAGAGGCACTCCGCTCAATGGCAGCTGTGCGATCTGGTGCTCCTCGGGCAGGTCGAAGCTCTCGAAATCTGCCACAGGGAAAAGCATCTCGTCAGGATAGCGGTTCTCCACAGTCAGCAGGTCTGAAACCCTTCGGAGAGTCCATGGGGTCAAAACCATCTCCTAATAACACTGTTTTTGTAATACCCAAACACTTCACACTAATCCTTTACTTTTTCTTTTTTGAGGCAGAATCTTATTAAGTCGTCAGGTTTTCAGGCTGGGTTCTAACTTTCCATCCTTCTGCCTCAGCCTCCCCAAGCGTAGGGATTATAAGATGAGCCACCACACCTGGCTTCCTACCTAGTAATTTCAGTACATTTTCCCACCGTCTTTTTTTTTTTTTTGGTACTGGGGATCCAATTCTGGTCCTTGTGTTTCCGAGGCAGGTGGAGGAACCACTGAGCTAAATCCCTGGCCCTTTCCCACTGTCTTGACAGCAGCAACAATGGTACAAAAATAGTGGTGGAGAAAATTGCTGGTGACTTAACACAAATCAAGACAGTGGCACTGAACAGTATTAGTAGTTACTTTACTCTTCCCTATTCACTGGTTAAAAAAAAGTGAAATAACTAAATACCAGTTCCAATGTCACTTTTCTATACACGTAAGTAAACTCTGAAACTGGGTGCGGTGGCGCACACCTGTAATCCCAGCACGAAGGAGTCTGAGGCAGGAGGATCACTAGCTACATAGGGAATTCAAGACCAGCATGAACTACACAGCAAGACCCTGTCACAAAAACCTTAAAAAAGGGGGCCAGGGATCTAGCTCTGTCGTTCTGCTGCCTGCCTCGCAAGCACAAGGATCCCAGTTCGATTCCCAGTACAAAACCAAAAACAAAAACCTAAAAAAAGTTAACTCTGGGATGAAAGAAGTATGCCTTAAACCAGAAAGCACACTTCTGCTGCTCCAAAGTATGATGATGATCATCTCAAAGAAAAAGGGTCTGTGCAATCAGCTGAGTTGCAATCTATACTAGAATCTGGGAACACCACTTTCATTTGAAAGATAAACTATGGCCACTCAAATGTAGGTATTTGTTATACATTTTCTCAAAGCAAGGAAGGCAGTCTATCATTTTAAGAAAAAATGATTCTTTGCTGACAGAATTAAGATGTCACAAAATATTTAGAACTGTGGAAAACTTAGCAATAATTTGACCTTAGCTTGGAAAACTTATTTTGCAATTACCAGCTTAAACTTTTCTGATGAGATCAATGTGATACTGGTGGTGTTTTTGAAATTACATAATGAAATGTTTCGACATGTGGACATCTACATTTCCACTATTTCTCAGTGATCAATATGTGATAAATACAGGGCTAAAAGATACAGTCCAAATGCAGCACAGACTAAAAGATTTTACTACCAGAATACACCATGTTCATTCATATGATCTCAGATTCCACACTACAAATATGTTCACGCTTAGCCACTTGTTGAGGTTTAGTGTTGTGTCAAAGAAAACTTTCCACACTCAGAAAAGACTAATACCCCCTCAACTACACATCCTCTGCATAAGGCCAAGGTGTCTTGTCTATTCGCTTCTGTCAAACCAGATGGAACACACAGCGCAGATTTTTGACAAGAATGTGGTTGTCTTACATTTGGTCAAACAAAGCCAGTTTTCAAATGCACTGGGGAATCAAAAGATAAGGTAAATGTTTACAGTATTTTTGAGAGAGAGTCTCGCTGTGTCGTTCAGACTGGCCTTGAACTCTCTACTGTAGCCCACACTGGCCTCGAACTTGCAGCCACCCTCTTGCTTCAGCCTCTCAAATGCTGAGATTAAGGCATGTGCTACCATGCCCAGCTTGGGTAAATATTTACATTTCTTTAAAACTTATTACTATAAAAGATATTGTCAAGAAGGATGGGATATGTGTTCAAAGCAGCCATGGGGGGAATATTTCAAGTATTCTGAAGGAGACTGATAGCAATAGGTCTTTTACTGTAATAATTTTTCAAATGTAAAAGTTCATTTTTTTATTGCATCTTGTAAACCATCCTATTCCCATCACTGACATTTTTGGTTCAAAAGTTATATTATGTGAGAAAAAAATGTTATTTATATTAACATTGAGTTTAGTATTTAATGAATTAACATTCTTAGTATTTCTGAGTTTTCATTTGTAATTCAGGAAACAGACAACACAAGCAAAAATTCTTTGGGGTCTTCAGTAATTCTTCAAGAGTATAAAAGGGTCCCAAAATATAAAAAAATTAAAAACAATGAGATTATTAACTTCGTAAAACACAAGTGCCTTGTTAGGAATTATTTAAAACAACTGATTTTTCTTGACAGTAACAAAAGCACGATTTAAATACAATGTTTTGAGCCAGGCATGGCGGCACATGACTATAATCCCAGCACTCAGGAGGGTGAGGCAAGAGGATCGCTATGAATTCAAGGCCAGCCTGTACACTAAGTTCAAAACCAGCCTAAACTACATAGCGGGATGCTATCTTAGAAAAACAAACAAACCAAAAAATACAGTATAATGTTTATAGTGGTTTTCTTCAAAGCATTTAAATGTTCATCTTCATCCTAAAATGAGAAAGTGCTCTAAATCCCAGGCACTCCAAAATTATTCTGCTCTTTTTCAAGCCTGGTAAAGCCCAGAAACCAAACAGAAACTGAGTGGGGTGTGTGACTACACCATCTAAAAACCACTGATCTCATAAAGAAAAACCGTAACCACACAAAGGACTTGTACAAAAGACTGTCCACATTGAGACTTTTCAAAGGTATTACACACTTCTCTCCCTCAGGTACAAATACTGTGAGGACAGGAACGATGTTCTATACCTTTGATCCTATTTCCCTCCTGACCTAAGATAAGCTGCAAAGGAGTCTACCTGAACAAGTACAAGGGCTGAGCAAAAAATATGTATAATAACATTTTAAAAGTTTGTTCATAACCATCAATGCCCCCTCAAAATACTCCCCGCGCTTCACACACACTTAGGCAATCCTTCTTGCCATTTTCTGAAGCAGTTCTGGACGTCTCCTTCCATGTCTTTTCCTAGCTAAATGCTCTGAAGCAAGTACAAATTTCAACAGCAACACAGTGTGTCCTCATCCACCTGTTCACCACATCTGGATCCATGCTACCTCTGGCTCTTCCCCAAAATCAAAACGACCTTGAAAGGTCAACATTTCCATCAGTTTAGAACTTCACAGCCAAGACAGAAAGGCATGAAAGAGAGCTTCCAGAACTGCTTCAGAAAGCAGCAAGAAGGATTGCCTAAGCGTGTTCACACCTTTCTGAAGGGGGAGTATCAACAGCAATTTGTCTTTCACTACATGTTTTTTTAATTGTTACCATTCACTGTACTTTTTTTAATCACACCAGGTGTATTCAAAGGAAGGTACACTCAGTCTGCACGGTAGTTTGGGGTTATATATAATATTCAAAATGCAGGTGAGTTGAATTCCACAAGAATTTAGAGGCCAAAAGCATTTCTTTGCCATTCCAAAAGATATTACCTAGAGGATTAAAGGGAAAGAATTTCTCTATTTCTGGATAGGTGTCATCAGAGGCAGGAACAGAGCTTTGTGTTTTGATGGTCTTCTCAGTCATCTAGAACCCAAGAAAATATGGATTAGTGAGAATCGAAGCTTTGTCAGATGAAAACTGCAACAGGCCACAGGCCCTCAAAGAGGACGGTTTCACCACATATTAAAATTGTTAAATTTCATATACTCTTCTGTAAAGCCATAATTCTTAGTTCTCATAATTCCTAAAAGAAAATCATATATAAAACAATGTAATTCTCATAGTTTGGCTCAAAATTCAAGTCAGAAATTTAAGCATCAGCACCTGTCAGCCTAAGTCATCTAGAAGGCTGAGCAGAGTTCATTCAGAGTTAATCAACTCAATTATCCAAACCTAACAGAGGAGAAAATGGGTACGAGTTGCCCTGAACAGTAGCTAATTCTCAAAGCCATTTTTGGTTTACAGAAGTGTGAATTTTCCACCAGGGCTAGCAAAGCGCTCCTCGGGGACACACTGAGCTGTGACTGAGAGTACCAGCTAGCGAACTGGAATCTTTACAAGCTCCCCCTCTGTAAGAAGGGGAAGGAGGTGGTACCTGAATAAAACCAGCAACTCGACCGTGCAACCATCCTCTTAGCACTCTATGTATCTGTAAATAGATACCACCCACCAATCTGCTTTTAAGGACAGATGAGGCAAAATTAAACATTAACTTCCCCCAACATTTCCAACCTCAGGCACAGAGAAGTCATGCCTGTGATTCCCCTTTGCTCGCCTATGTTTGCCAACCCCTACTTCCCTTGCATTCAAAGGGGAAAGTCAGCCAAGACGCCAACCACCATTTCAAGTGTCAAAAGTGCTGAAGTGTCCCAACGGTGTGTTTATAGACAACACTTACCTTTTTGGCAGAGAAGTTTGCTTTTTGTTTGAGGGGTCCATTACTCTTTACTGATCTTTCTGTAGCTCTGTTGACAGTTCCCAAAGCCTTTCTGGCAGTTTTAGGTAAGGCTGGCGGAGCATTGAACGTTTTCCCAACGTGCGGCATTGAAAACCGAGATCTCCCATCTAAGGCTTTGACTGCTGAAGAAAAAGTAGAACCCTAAGAACCCTAGGCCGGAGACAGCTCTGCACCGAATGAATGCCCTCTGTGTGCAATGACCTAATGCTCACCCCCAAACCTGATCAGCATTTTTGGCAGTGGCATAGTTCACTACTTTAAGGCGCTCATTAGGATAATGGAAAGACAACAAACACGACCCTAATTGTGCACAGAGCGCACCCAAAATTGGCCAGGCTCCACACCACGCCCACGATGCATCGCAACACCTGTGCATCTGGCCTCAGGCTGCGTACTCACCAGGCCCAGACCGCAGCTTCACCCCATCCTTAGGGGTCACACGGGCGCCCGGCTCTCCGTTTTCCTTATCGACAAAGATCAGGGTCGCCATCCTGGACTGCACTGCGGGCAAGGCACACAAATCAGACACTGGGGTCGAGGAAGCCGAGAGATGCTATAACAGAGGTACAGCTCGACCCGAGGGGCATCCACACCAACGCGGAACGGAGGCCGGAGACCGCGGCACTGAAAGCTCAACCTGGCTCTGAAGTGGCCCCGCAGCGCAGGCAGGCGGGGGTGGCACCCGTCAACTCCCTCCGAGGCTCACCCCGCCTCTGCGCCGGGGACCCCGAGAAGCCCGAGCCTCTCCCCTCCGACCCGCTCACCTACTTCGCTCCAACAACCAAACTCAACCAAGACGCAACCGCCAGCCAACTGCGCCACACTCGCCGTTTAAACCACAACTAATGATCCAATTGGCTCGTTCTGGGGGGCGGAGTCTGAGAGAAAGACCAATGAGGAGAAGCGAAGCCCTTAGGCCCCCGCCCACGGGTCTTTCTCCGGAAGTTTACGACTGGGAAGAGAAAAAGTGAGGTTGTGTAATACCCAATAATCCTGAGAGGCTTTTTCCTTTTTATTATATTGAGCTTCATGGACTGAGGGACTGACCCAATAATTTTGTTTTATTGCATTAAGCTTTTTTATTTAAATAACACTGCAAAAAGGATGAAAAATAAAATAGGAAAAAACATTTTAACTGCGGATTGAACCCAGGGCATTTGTGATGAGCTACATCCCCAGCTCTTTTTTATTCTGAGATGGGGGTCTCGCTAAATTGCTCAGGCCGGGTTCCAAACTCCGACCCCCACCTCAGGCTCCCAGAGCTAGATGACGGTTGTGCCATCCTGAGGACTTTATCCTTATATGTGTTTCTGCCTCTTTTCAGTATAGTCAAAATGTGGCCGGTTTGAAGCACACAATGGAGACTAGCTGGACATTCACGTGTTTCGTACAATAGTGATAAAGATCCTGCACAGCCCTCGGTGTTACCGACCCACGGGGGACAGTGGTGCATGAATTGTGCTTACTACAACCTCTGCAAAGCTCGCCCTTACACTTAGAATAAACCCGCCACATTTAACGTGGTTTCCAAAAGCCTGCGCGATCCAGCATGTCCCACCTTGCTCTCCAGCCTCACTGTGACACCATTCCCCTGGCTCCAAACGCATGGCCATTCTTCTGCTTCCTTAAAACCTCCAATTCTGTGTCTCTGCCTGACTTTCACCTACACACCTCTCGCCATCCTCCAAGGGGTTTCTCCAAAATCAAAAGGGTCTCCTCCCAAAGAGAAGGCTTGACAGAGCAGTGAAGCGATACAAGGTAGACAGTTGGTGCTCAAGAAGTGTACCATTTATTTTGAAAAGTTTCAGGTGCAAAGAATAATATATGAGGGGTGATCAAGAAATATGGTAAAGCCTGTAATTCCCGCTTAGGAGGCTGAAGCAGGAGGATTGCTGAGAGTTCCAGGCCAGCCTGAGCTACATAGTGAGTTCAAGGCCACACTGAACTACATAGTAAGACCCTGTCTCAAAAAACAAACAAAACAACTAAAAGAAATGGTAATTTAAATTTGAAAATTTATTAGAATAAAAAACACACTGCTATTAATCTCTCTCAAATTTTCAAAACATTTCCCCTTACTTCAAGCACTTATCCCACTGTTCTTAGTTTCTTGTACTGTTTTTTAATTTAAACCTTCACCATATTTTTAACCATCCCTTGTATAATACTACAAAATGCAGGATTGAATTTTAAATTTATAATTAAAAAACATGATACTTCTAATTTTTACACCTCAAAAGTCTACAAAGGGCCAGGGATTTAGCTCACTGGTTCCTCCACCTGCCTCACAAACGCAAGGATCCAAGTTTGATCCCCAGTACCAACAACAAAACAAAAGTCTACAAAGACTTCTGCTCTCTAAATTTATCTTTCTTTTCCCCTTTCCGAGAAATACTTTACAAAGAAATTTGAAAGGAGTCATTTAATCATGGAACATGCAAATATAAAGACTATTAAACCCAGGATTTTACATATGGTAGGCAAGGGTTCTACCACTGAACTACATCCCAAGCCCATTTTTGTACTGGGAATCGAACTCAAGACGTTGTACTTGTGAGGCAGGGGGCACCCAGCCCTTTTAATGCTGAGTCAGGGTTTTGATAAATTGCTAAGGCTGACCTGCTACTCACAACCCTCCTGCCTCAGCCTCCCAAGTGCTAAGTAGGATTGCAGGCATGCACCAAAACACCTGGCTCATTGTGTGCCTTTGCAGTGAGCTATAGTACTAGCCCATTTTTATTTTTTATCTTGAAACATGGTTTTGCTAACATTATTTTCTACAGTGCAGGCTCAAATAAGCCTCCCGCATCATCCTCCAAGAGTGCTGGGATTACAGGTATGTGCTACCAGGCAGGGCTACACTTGCTAAAGTTCTATAATTTAGAAGCAAGGCACAGCAGCACAGGCCTAGAAGCCCAGCTCTCTGAGGGGCTCAGGGAGGAGGATCACGAATTTGAGCCCAACCTTAAAAAGGTAAACTAGGTGTGGTGGCACCTGTAATCCCAGAGCTCTGGAGGCTGAGGGTGGACTCTATAGTGAATTCTAGGGCAGTTTGAACTACTCAGCGAAAGTCTGACTCAAAAAACAAACAAAAGGGTAAGAAATCAAATAAGTGTGTTTGGAGCAAAAGGGAGTATCTTGAGGGAAATTAATGAGACTTTGCTGTAATGTTTTTTTAATTTAAAATAAAAGATAAAAGGCCAGGGATTCAACTCAGTGGTTCCACTGCCTACCTTGAAAACACAAGGTCCTGAGTTCAATCCCCAGTACCAAAAAATAACTAAATAAAAATAAAATAAAAGAGAACAGACAAAAATTCACATAAACCTTTACTGTCCCTTCCTTGCCTTTATCCCCACAACCCCTTTTCTCCCTTTATTTCCTTCTTAATTTTACATCTTCATGCTGTATCATCAACACAAAAAGAATAAGTTTTTTTTGGTACAAGAAACATTAACTTTTAAGACTAAATCATTACAGCATCCACAGCTTCCACTGGGTATTCTCTGCCTCCCAAGGTTTTGAGGTGCAGAGTTTATGACCCTTCAGAATCTTCCCCAAGTTTTTTTCACCAACAGGAAGCCCTGAATCTCCCAAGGCCACACAGCAGCTGTAAATCATAACCACTCTCTTTGGCCTTCATTTCTAACTAATGAATGCCCTCAGGCCAACTTTGCTGTTCTAGCCTATTACAGGGCAATCATTTCTCCAACTGTTCAACCCTCACTTGTAATATCACACAGTTCCTAGTTAAGTCAGTTTCTCCTAATCTAGCTGGACAGACAGCTAGCCAACCAGAACTAATCTCCGCTTTCCTAGTTCCTCTTGAAAATCTTCTACAGAGACTCTAAACCTTAGAAACCATCCCTTGCTATTGTCCAGCACATTCCACAATTCCTCTGGGAGATATGCTGTCTGGTTTATGCCTGGCTAATTAGGCCTGGACACTCATAAGCAAATTTCAAGAATTTTTTTAAGTGGAAAAAAAACAAATTGTGAGTGATTGATTCATGGACTCTACTTTCAGGCTCTATCTCTTGACCCTTCATCTACTGCCTTGTAAAATCAAAACAGATTCTTAAACTCTAGGCACTGAAAATTCTTTGTAAGAAGGGATGGGAGGGTTGTATTACTTTTGGACTCTTACTGAGGCAGGGATGTTAGCTATTTTAACTATTATATGTGAACCAAATATGTTATCTGGGGAAAATGTACAGAACAGACAGCACACGCACGCGCACGCACACACAAAGAGGAAATTCTGCTACCAAGAGTACCGTTTATTTGCCATTATTTAATTTCATCTGTACACGCTGGGCGTGCGGCTGTGTGGTAAAAGCCCTCACCTACCCTGGCTTGAGGCTATGGGTTCCATCCCTAGCGCCACAAAAAAGAAAATGAAACAAACAAAAATCCTCATATGTGTATTTTCAAAGAACTGGGATGTCATAATACTATTGTTTTTCAAAATGGAAAATACTTTACAGTGTTTTTCTATTGATAAAATCCAAGTTCACAATTACCAAAACAGGCTCCATCTTCTCATAGCCCCTGGTACTACGATCACACAACTTTTACAACGGTACATTATTTCAGTAATTACTTGAGTGCCTTCCTCACTCTGTTCGACGTAAATTCGAGAAAAGACGCTCATGTTCACACACATTCCCACAGCGTCTGGCTACTAATTAATACGAATTTGACTGATTTGTTACTGAAAATATCACAAACTTCCTCATGCACTTCATAGTCTCCTAGTGAGACTTAAACTGTTGTTCATTTTAGGTACTAAACCTTTGAGGGGTTTTTCGTCCTGATATTCTGCAATTCTAAAGGGGGAAAAATATCTTCCTAATTAGGAGCTGAACAACCAAACATACCTACCTCGCCGCACAAGGTAAACATCGAAACAGGCACAACTCTAATCTGCGGCGCTGGAGGGCGCCAGAGAAAAGTGCGCCACTGCTTCTTAGTGCGCATGCGTTATCTGTCCGGAAGCTGCCGCAGTGGCTGTTGGGAGAAGGCCGAGAGCCCGGAAGTAAACATTCACGGCTTAGCTGCCTTGGTTTTGGTGTCGGGGAGGCTGAACTGGGTAAGAAAATATTTTGAGAATTTGCGGACAGGGGAGCGGGGGAAGAACTAGGGAACCGTAGGAGATGGGTCGAAGGCTCCCGATTATTAGACATATCCTTCCGGGAATGATGAACCCCAGACGGAGGAAGGACTGAGGTCAAAGAGCCGAGAAGCTATCGTCCTAGGACGCAGGCCTGGTCCTCCTGTCCATCCAGACCAAGCCGGACTCCCTTTTGTCGCAGTGTTTTGAGGATTCTGAGTGGACCTTCACCCAAGTTGACAGGCAGTTTCTACTGTAAAATGGAATTGTTTAAAAGGGCTAAAGGTGTAGGGAAAGTGAGAAGGGTAGAGGAAAGGTAATAAGGGAAAAGAAAAAATAGGAGAAAGTGAAAAAACGGAAATAAAATGTTTGTAAATGGTGACAGGAGGAAGGGGTGAAGGGAGGGCAGGGACAAGGGGAAAAAATGAGAACCAAGACCTGTCATGTAAAGGTACATCGAGATCCCAATGATGAATGTAACTGTACTGCATACCTAAAATTTACCAATAAACTCAATGAGGGAAAAAAATAGATTAGATGAGAACCATGCATAGTGAATGTTTAAATTTAGAAGTTTATTACAGTAAGAGATCCATTGCCATTAAACCCCAGCAGAGTACTTTCTCTCACTTCAGACACATATATCCCATTATTCTTGCCATTTCATGGAGCAGTTCTGGAAGTCCTTATTTCATGAGTCTTTTTGGTTGCGCTATGGTGCTCTCTTGATGTCCTGAATTTATTTAAAATGTTCACCTTTTGTGGTCATTTTGACTTTGGGAAAGAGCCACAAGTAGCACGGTACCAGATCCAGTAAATAAGGTAGATAAGGATGCATAATAACATTTTCACAAGCTGCCTTGCCATTGGACAGCGCTCGGCAGTATCGTTTACCTTTTTTTTTTTTACTCACATCTCCTGAAGACATTCGTGGAAGAGGACATCCATGGCAAGAACAATGGGATAAGTCTGCCTGAATCAAGGGAGCATTTTGAGGGGGGTAATGGCAATGTATCTTTTACTATAATACATTTTTCCAATTTAAAAATTCACTATATATTTTGATAGCCCCTAGTATTGTGGCTGTTAAACTAGATGTTGGAAATTGGTATGGCTTAGAGTGATAACTGATGCTTCAACTAAGCCTTGAGTTTAATATTAAATAACTGGGTAATGGGTGAAGCTGCAAAGGAGACCAGAGTAATAGTGAAAAAATGAGACAAGACCTGTCATGTAAAGGTACATCGAGATCCCAATGATGAATGTAACTGTACTGCATACCTAAAATTTACCAATAAACTCAATGAGGGAAAAAAATAGATTAGATGAGAACCATGCATAGTGAATGTTTAAATTTAGAAGTTTATTACAGTAAGAGATCCATTGCCATTAAACCCCAGCAGAGTACTTTCTCTCACTTCAGACACATATATCCCATTATTCTTGCCATTTCATGGAGCAGTTCTGGAAGTCCTTATTTCATGAGTCTTTTTGGTTGCGCTATGGTGCTCTCTTGATGTCCTGAATTTATTTAAAATGTTCACCTTTTGTGGTCATTTTGACTTTGGGAAAGAGCCACAAGTAGCACGGTACCAGATCCAGTAAATAAGGTAGATAAGGATGCATAATAACATTTTCACAAGCTGCCTTGCCATTGGACAGCGCTCGGCAGTATCGTTTACCTTTTTTTTTTTTACTCACATCTCCTGAAGACATTCGTGGAAGAGGACATCCATGGCAAGAACAATGGGATAAGTCTGCCTGAATCAAGGGAGCATTTTGAGGGGGGTAATGGCAATGTATCTTTTACTATAATACATTTTTCCAATTTAAAAATTCACTATATATTTTGATAGCCCCTAGTATTGTGGCTGTTAAACTAGATGTTGGAAATTGGTATGGCTTAGAGTGATAACTGATGCTTCAACTAAGCCTTGAGTTTAATATTAAATAACTGGGTAATGGGTGAAGCTGCAAAGGAGACCAGAGTAATAGTGAGAGAGACACACGAAGAACCCATAGTGAGCGCCTGGAAGTTCTTGCCTTAGTTTGTGGGCCCTGCCGTGGCCCTGAGCTCACCTGCTGCAGGAGCCCTTAAATCATAGCTGAATTCTCATTTGACATCAGTGGCATTTCATATTAGCATGGTGTTTACTGAGTCCTGTAACTCCTGATCTCAAGCTCCTAAAATGATTATGCTGGTTAGAGAGATTGTTTGTTTGTTTGTTTTTTGAGCCAGGGTCTCACTGTGTAGTTGAGACTGACCTGGAACTCACTATGTAGCCCAGGCTGGTCTTGAACTCACAGTGATCCTCCTGCCTCAGTCTCCCAAGTGGTGGAATTACAGGCATGCACCACCATGCCCAGCTAGGTAGAGAGATATTTGAATGTAAAACAGCAAGCCAAGTCTAAAATTCAGAACCTTTGTTTAGATTCTGAAAGTAATGAAGTATTGCTTTATTGGGACTTTTTGTCATTTTCTTGTCCCAATATTGAAAATGTTTTAATTATTTGATTTTAATTTATATAACTTGAACCCATAAAGCAGTGGGTATTTCTATTGTTTAATCCCTGTTATACAGAACTCTTAAATTTTTTTGTTTAAAAATCAATCTTTAAATGACAGTGATGAAATAGTTGAATTGCTATGGTTTACAGAAAAGAGAGAGAGCCGGGTGTGGTGGCTCACACCTGTAATCCTGTAATCCCAGCACTCGGGAGGCTGAGGCAGGAGGATCTCTGTGAGTTCAGAGACCATCCTGAGCTACCTAGTGAGTTCCAGGTCAGTCTCAACTACATAGTGAGACCCGGTCTCAAAAAAGAAAGAAAAACAAAAAAAAGAGAGAGAGAGAAACCAATAGAAAATAGTATCATGGAAGCCAGGAAATAAGAATGTGTCAAAAAGAGAAGGAATGAGACGGAAAAACATACAGTGTGTTTGGCACATTGATCACTGATAACTGTCAGGAACTCGTCGGAACAGCTTCGGGTAGAAGCTGAGGAGTGGAAGATGAGGAAATAGAAACAGTAACTGTAGGTCAGGGGTGGCGAACCTGTGGCACGTGTGCCCCAGCAGACACAGCGAACCCTCCGTCAGCATGCAAGCTAAGCGTATGAATTGTTTTTTCTAAACCAAAACTTCCGTATTCAGGTTTAATTGTACTGTTGGGACTTTGCAATCGATAAGTGGCTTTTGAGTTATAATTTGGGCGCTCGATCTCTAGAAGGTTCACTCTCACTGCTATAGGTAATTCTTAAACATCTGTCCTTGGAAAGAAACAGCAATGGGACCCTGTGTGCTCTCTTAAAGGTTACTATGACAGAAAAGTTTGAGTTACTGTACAGAAAGGGCAATTCAGGAGTGTTTATGAAAGAGTCGTATGAGATTTTAAATGCATATGAGACATTATGTATGACTCGTGTGTTACTAGGATTAGGATGACTTAGGTAGCTTCAGGGATGAAGGCCTGCTTCCTCCTGCAACTTCCTTCTTCCTTTCTTACAGAAAGCCCCGTCATCATGTCGGCAGCAGCTGTGGATACAGTTAACGCTGCCCCCCTGTCAGGGTCCAAGGAGATGAATTTGGAGGAACCAAAGAAGATGACCAGAGAGGACTGGAGAAAGAAGAAGGAGTTAGAAGAACAGCGAAAATTGGGCAATGCTCCTGCGGAAGTTGATGAAGAAGGAAAGTAAGTACTTATTTTTTGCACAGTCTGTTCATGCAAAAATTACATGAAAATCTACTTAATTTATCAATTTCTGATGCTATTTTATCAAATTGATATGCACAAGACTTAATAATTGAATAATGTCACAGAGCTCATAAGGAACAAAAGTACTCCCTGTTCACTCTTCCTGTCCCTTGTCCTGCTCTGTGGTGATGATTTTTAAGTCTGAGTTTTCTGGGCATAACCTTTCTGTCTCTAAATAATAATGTCCAGTAATCTTAATCAATTAACGATACACACCAACATTTGCTGTGATAGCTTAAGCTCGCTACCGTGTTACAATCTTTGTTTCTCTTCCTTTCAGTTATAATACTATTTCTAATATCTTGATCAGAAATGTTTCACTTAGTATTTATTGCTTTCTTCATTTTCAGTTGTTATTTATGATAGTCAAGATAGTAACCAACTTCTTTTGCTCCTTCTGCTGTATTTCTATTAGATTTCATGTAGGATACCTTTGTAATTGAAATATTTTTAACCTTTTTAAAAATTTTTCTTATTTTACAGAGACATCAATCCTCATATTCCTCAGTATATTTCTTCAGTACCATGGTATATTGATCCATCAAAAAGACCTACTCTAAAGCATCAGCGACCACAACCAGAAAAACAAAAGCAATTCAGCTCATCTGTAGAATGGTACAAGAGAGGTGTGAAAGAGGTATGTAGGTGACCTGTATATGTCCTCATATATTGATATTATTTTAGGAATTTAATGTAAAAATACATTTAGGCTGGGCGTGGTGGTCTGTAATCTCAGATCTCAGGTGGATGAGGCAGGAGGATCGTCAGGGGTTGGAGGCCAGCCTGGCCTACTTAGGGAGTTCAAGACCAGCCTGGAAAAAGACTTTGTTTCAAAAAAATTTTTTTTTTCTTAAGTAGCTTTTTTGTTTGTTTGTTTGTTTGGTACTGGGGATCGAACTCAGGGCCTTGTGCTTGCCGGGCAGATAGCAGCACCACTGAACTAAATCCCCAACCCTAAAAAGTAGTTTTAATTACCGAGCATGGTGGCACACACCTGTAATCCCAGCACTTGGGAGGCTGAGGCAGAAGGATCACTGTGAGTTCAAGACCCTGCCTGGGCTACACAGTGAGTTCCAGGTCAGTCTCAACTACATAGTGAGACCCTGTCTTAAAAAAAAGTAGCTTTAATCTAATACTTTACAAAGTAGAAACATTGTGTAAACCTTTCGCACTACATAGTGAGACCCTGGCTTCGTCCAAAATCAAATCAGTTTTACAGAAATTTTACACTGCTGAAGTTCTTAAGCGTACTCATTTATAAATGTGTAGACAATCCCCCTTTTACTGGGTATTGAACCCAGGGCCTTAGCACTGAGCTACATCCCCACACTTTGCTTATTTCATTTTTTGTTTTGAGATGGGGTCTCACTAAGTTGCCCAGGCTGGGCTTCCAGTCCCCTCCCCTCAGCCTCCTAGAGGCTGTATTACAGAAATATAGGACCACACTCAAGTGGAGATTCTTAACTGATGTTTTCTTGCTTTTTTTGGTGTTTGTTTTGGCTAGTACTGGGGATTGAACCCAGAGCCTTCATGCTGATTTACATCCTGAGTCTTTTTTAGCTTTTTTAGAGACAAGGCCTTGCTAAGCTACTAAACGGCTAAGGCTGGGCTCAAATTGAAAAATCCTTTCTCAGTCTCACGGTGTGCTGGGACTACAGACGTTCACTGTCGTGCAGGGCCTAATTTTCTTCTTAATAAATCAATCATTTCATTAAACAAGATATTAGTGGGAGCCAAGTTATTTTTTAAGTTATTCAAAGAAAACATCGCTTTGGCTTTCTTTATATTGTTTTATAGAATTCCATAACTACTAAGTACCGCAAAGGAGCATGTGAGAATTGTGGGGCCATGACACATAAAAAGAAAGACTGCTTTGAGGTGAGTTCACCTTGGAGAATTTTGGAAACCGTTATCAGAATCTTCCTTGTCAGAGAACTTCCATTTTTCTAAAATAATTTATATTTGGGTACAAGTTAAATAAAAATTAATTGGAATGAAATTAGTCCAGCACCATCAAAATTTTCTGTTAGAAAGTTATCTGGCAATTAAACAGACACTAAAGACCCTTGGTGTAGTCACACTTGCTCTGTGAAAGCTGCATGAAATTGCCTTCTAAGCTGAAAATATTTAGAAAAATATTAAATCTTCTATTTTTCTAGAGACCAAGGCGAGTCGGAGCCAAATTTACAGGTACTAATATAGCTCCTGATGAACACGTCCAGCCCCAGTTAATGTTTGACTACGATGGGAAGAGAGATCGGTGGAATGGCTATAATCCGGAAGAACACATGAAAATCGTGGAAGAGTATGCCAAAGTGGATCTGGTGAGCAAGATTCAGGCCATGAACTGTCCTTGAAGAGCAAACATTTTACAGTATTTCTTATTCAGCCTCTTTCTCAAGTCTTCAAGCACCATGCAGATGATGTCATATTTTAGCAGTAGGCCTCCTTGCAAAGTGAAATTAACCAGCGTGGTAGCCTTGTTTGGCAGCAGTTTTTTCGTATTTGATTATTTTATTATCCTTTACCCCAGCTTATAGAGCAAAAAATATTGAAAGCGTAAGAACATCTGTCCTCTATCTATTCTGAGAATCAAAGCTTTTAGCTTTTTGAGGTTCTGAACTCTGGCCCCAGGCTGTGGCTTGCTCATCCATCTATTTTATAGTTGTCTCACATAATAGGAAGGGTAGAAGGGGAGTAAATAACTTATTTCAGACAGTTGAATTTCATTTTAATTCAACCTTATTCTTGCTGTTACGATTCCCCCTAGTTACCCCCTTTCCTTCATAGTCAACACTGCCTGCCATTTTTTTTTTTTTTTTTTTTTTTTTTTTTTGTACTGGGGATCGAACTCAGAACCTTGCACTTACAAGGCAGGCGGCAGAACCACTGAGCTAAATTCCCCTCCCAGCCTGCCTGTTTTGAATTAGAGGTGAATTAGAGGTAATATTTAAAGGTCATGAAAATGTAGATTTCACCAGTTTTGAGTACTGAAATGTATGGTAACCCTAGTCCAGCATGACAGAAGTCAGCCGGCCATGGCCCTTTGGGTCCGGGCTGGCTCCCTACAGTTCAGTGCTGATTCCATCGGACTTGGCCCACACTAATGCCTGGTTCCCACGGACATTCCTGTGACTTCTCTTCTTCGCCGTCATAGGCCTAGGGCCACAGGGGATCTCATCTGGAAACAATAAAATGACTCATTTTTAAATTATGAAAGTCAAATGGCTCTTTAAATGTTTTAAGTAAAATTTAAATGTTTCTTTTTTTTAGGCAAAACGAACATTGAAAGCCCAGAAACTGCAAGAAGAATTAGCCTCAGGAAAATTAGTAGAACAAGCTGTAAGTAATAAAAATGATCAGTACAGAAATATTCAAACTTAAACCAATTGAAGTAAAATCTGAAACAGGGATTCATTTTGTATCTCTCTAGTTAGGAAAAACATTAGGGAAAGAGAAATACAGTTTAGGTTGAGCATCATTAATCTAAAACTCCAGAAGGTGAAATGCTCCAGATGAAAGCTCTGAGCTCCACCTCCATGCCACAAGGGGAAACTTCCCTACCGGGCCTCATGTGACCAGTGGTAGTCATAATGTAGGTATGGTAAAAATATTGTATACATTTATCTTTAGTGTATGTTTATATCTAGATACTCAAAAATCCAGAAAACTAAAATTCAAAACACTTCTAGCCCCAAGCATTTCCAGTGCAGAATACTCAACCTGTACTATTAAGGGAAAAGTGAAACTGACAGTATTTGTACTTTACGTGGAAATTTAAGTTAGTACAGTAATGGATAAAGAACATTGCCCTAAATTATGTGTGCACCTTTTGAGGAATTAAATACGTCATTCCACCCATCCTGAAGAATTTTGTAGAATTTTTTTAAAAAGTCATTATGCACCAAGATATTCCCTGTAGCATTTTCCACAATAGTGAAAAACTGAAAGAGCTGAAATAACCAGACAGCAGGGACCTGATTACCGTGTTGTTATCTGCATTAGGAATGTCTCATAACTCTTAAAATGGTATTTATTAAGGCCCAGTTAACACCTCTGATTAACATATATATTTTAATGACACATGAAAAGATACTCTAATATCACAGACAAAGACCAGAATACCAGTTTTTCTTTCTCTCTCTGTTTCTTTCTCTTTTTTTTTTGGTTTTTTGAAACAGGCTCTCACTATGCAGTTGAGACTGACCTGGAACTCATTATGGAGCCCAGGCTGGTCTCAAATTCTCTGTGATCCTTCTGCCTCCACCTCCCAAGTGCTGGGATTACAGGCCTGCGCCACCACACCTGGCTGCTGCTGCTGCTGCTTTTTTTTTTTTTTTTT